TTTAGCTTCATCAGGATTCCAAAAACCACTTGAAGTCTTTCCTTGACATGCTAAGCCCCAGGCTCCTGGAGTAATATCTGAAAAAATCTCTAACGAAAAACAATGTTGCTTTATTGGAGAAGAGTGTTTCCAAATTTTTGAACCACCATCTGAAGTCAACAATAAGATCTTTAGAAAGAGTCATTGAACTATCATAATTATTATTATAGGAGTTTTGCATAGCAAGAAACTTTGCCCTCTCAAATAACTTAGTATGCACCCAGCCATATGCTACTGCTGGACATTGAAACCAGGACTCCACATAATTGGGCAAAATCTCTAATCTTACAAGACCTCAATTTATAAAAAACTATTCAGTAATTTCAAGACATGCCTACACTTGTCATCTGGAAGGCTCAAGGTCATAAGCTCTGAGTTAAAAATAAAACCTAAAAACTTGCAAGACTTAAGTATCCGGAACTAAAACACTCTTCTTAATATTTATGACAAACCCCAATTCTTGTAAAATATTACAAGTTTTCTGAACATTATTTGAACAGCTACTGTAGGTACTGCCAACAAGCAAAAATCATCTAAATACACAACTGATAACCTTTGACTCGAAGAAATGAAACGATAGGTTTTAAAAGTTTAGCAAACACCCAAGGTGCTGTACAGAGCCCAAAGGGAAGTACATTAAATTGATACAATTTAGAATCAAAAACGAAACGTTTAAAATGGCAGGGGTCAATAAAATAATTTAATTTTTTCAAATTGAGAACCAACCTAAAACTGCCATCTGACTTCGGAACTAGAAAAATTTTCGAAATAAACTGTCCATTACTGGGCTGACACTTGGATACAGCCCGAATATCACACAAGTGTTTAACCGCCTGTGTCATATTCAGTTTTTCTTTTTGTGCATAAATTGGTTCTCGAACCAAATATTGCAACACTGGCCTAGAAAAGGGGATAATATAGCCATCCAACCAAGAAAGAAGCAAAGGATCACAGGTATATCTTAACCAAAATGATTTAAATGCAGATAATCTTCCTCCAAACTTACCCACTACTTGTTGAACTTCCTCGGAGGGAACTTCCTGCCCCTCTCTTCTTCCTTTGGGAATCGAGATTCCTGATAGTACCTGTTTTGCCCACTCCGGCGTTGAGGTTTGTATTTCATTTGTCGAAGTTGGCCCAAGAAGTTTGGGTTATGGGCCTTGAGGGTCTATGGTGCATACTTCGGTTTGGAAGAGCCAGCCCTAAGATCAGCTACTGACTTGCCAATAGATTTGGCCATTTTGATTCGCTCACCCAAATCTTTTTCGACCAGAGGTAAGTGTCCAAAGGAGCTTCAGCTAATAAATGCCTCTTAAAGTTCAGGCTTAAGATTATTGGAATTCAGAGAAAAACTTAAAATAGAAGATTTTCTATACTCAGAATCAGTGTTGTGTATTTTACACAGTAGAGATGTATCTTCCAAATGTTCAATTAAACTCAATGTTTCTTCGTCTTTATCTGGACGATTCAATAAAATTGACTGGGCCCTTGCTTCTGCTGTCAAGGCGATACCAACCTCTTTTTGACGAGCAATTAATCTCTCATCTCTCTTACGACCCGCTTCACTTAGAGCAGCTCTGATTTCAGCATTCAGCTTGGGAGGAACAACAAAAGGGCAATTCTCTGGTGTTGGATATTTTGCCAACGTCTCGTTCAACTGATCCTCAGACAATCCCTTTTTCAACAATAAACCACAATGATTGGCTAGAATATCATGTAGTGGTTCTCCCATTAACGTTTGCTTTTTGCGGTTTGCACCCATAGCACTTAAAACCCTCTGATCGAGGTCTGTTTGAAGAGGATCCACGACCTCTGGTGCATTAGAAGTGGATAAACCTAAAATCAAACATATGTAGTTACTTACACACAATCCGACGGCATTCTTGGAAAACAAACGACATATTTATCTGTAACCAAGACAAAACATGATACAACCAATAACCTTGGTTGGCCCCTGAGCAAATAGATAACCCCTAAATGCTCTCACAAACAACCAATTGTGTATCCACCACAAGGGGACTTCGGGATCCCAAATTCTTTGGGAAAATCGTCCCTGACTGGGATGATGCTGATGATGAAGAGTATCGTAGTTACTTACATATCAATCCGACGGCATTCTTGGAAAACAAACGACATATTTATCTGTAACCAAGATAAAACATGATACAACCAATAACCTTGGTTGGCCCCTGAGCAAATAGATAACCTCTAAATGCTCTCACAATCAACAAATTGTGTATCCACCTCAAGGGGACTTCGGGATCCCAAATTCTTTGGGAAAATCGTCCCTGACTGGGATGATGCTGAGGATGAAGAGTATCTACGCCTCCTCCTGCTAGCCATCGAGTTGGATCTAGATCTAGATCGTCGCAAACGGCCGCGGTACTTCCGGTCATTATACTTGCGTCGGTATTTTTCAATTTTCCGCCTCAGAAATTCGCCCTCGCTAGAAGAAGAAGAAGAGGAAACACTTGTGGAACGTTTTCCCGTCATTTAGCAACCGAATAATAAGGATTAATAACAATTTTGTTGAGAAAATAAATTCATGATACGCCACGTTAGCACAAAGAAAAAGAATGACAATGACGTATCGGATTACGGGTACCATGGCTACATTAGGGTGTGGATGATAGTACAACTTTTGACTTGCTGCTTTAAAGTTGTGCGCCACCTAGTGACTAGAGAAAGGACTACGTATTGATTTCGTAGAAGAGGCGTGACATAAAATGAACACAATATAAAAAACTACTCACTTTTTTTTATACATGTCGTAGATTTGATTGCGAATAGAGCTAACATCAAGGTAATCTTGATTCGTAACCCGCTTCTTACGTGGACGCTTTTTCTTTGGTGAATTTAACGCTAAATTATCCCTAACTTTTTGAGAGATTTTACTCACAATGGTTATACCAATATTCAGTGCAGCTGCAACACGCTGGAAAAATATTCCCAATCAAAGCCCCAGAAGATTTATATTTGATAGTGACTACGTTTATTTCACACAGTTTATCCGGATACTAAGTGGATTGGATTAATAATGGAGATTAAAAATCCTGAAATAAACACCCAGGATTAGACAGTTTATCCGGATCGGATACTTAATCCGATCCTCCAAATTTGTAGGATTGGACTTAAAATGGATTATCTCAAATGTGAAATAAACACTGCAAATCTCGGATTTGAGAAGTTTGTTGCTAACTTCAAGAAAAAATGACCTAAACCTAATAAAAAGTGTATCAGCTGATTGCCTTTAATGAAGTTAGACACAAAGCAATTTGGGCTTGCGCTTTTGACAAGGCTTAAGAAAGGATTAGCACTAATCTTAATCCATTTGATACTCGTGAAATAAACGAATATGGATTAATAATCCTTAATCCACTTAATATCCGGATAGAGCGCATGAAATAAACGTAGTCAGTGACTACGTTTATTTCACACGTTCTATCCAGATACTAAGTGGATTGGATTAATAATGGAGATTAATAATCCTGAAATAAACACCCAGCATTAAACAGTTTATCCGGATCGGATACTTAATCTGATCCTCCAAATTTGTAGGATTGGACTTAAAATGGATTATCTCAAATGTGAAATAAACACTCCAAATCTCGGATTTGAGAAGTTTGTTGCTAACTTCAAGAAAAAATGACCTAAACCTAATAAAAAGTGTATCAGCCGATTGCCTTTAATGAAGTTAGACACAAAGCAATTTGGGCTTGCGCTTTTGACAAGGCTTAAGAAAGGATTAGCACTAATCTTAATCCATTTGATAGTCGTGAAATAAACGAATATGGATTAATAATCCTTAATCCACTTAATATCCGGATACAACGCATGAAATAAACGTAGTCATTATCAATATACTTCACCTCTCTAACGCTATTTAATGGCAAAAAGGTGCCCCCATTATCTCGTTCCTGTTCAAAGAAACTAATTAGAAACGCAACGAGTTTCTGATTCTGACTACTCAATGGCTTTGGCATTTTATAGATACACAAATAGAAATAATTTCAAATTATTAAAATCAGTAACCGCAGATTTGCAGCAATATTTGGCAACATAACCCACGAGTGCCAACCTAAATGCCATTTTATCGGCCGATTCGGTTAAATGCCAACAGTGTTCTGTCTTTTCTTAACTAAGGTTAAATAAACAGGAAAATGAGCTCTCAGCTTGAAACGATTTTTAATTCCTTACAAACTGCAATTCGCAATAATTTCGAAGTCATCGATGACGTGCATACACTGTTTAAATAATTTCAGTATAGAAAGGATAACGCACACCTAATATGGGATTTTTGGGCTCTATGGATTTTGCTCATTTTTTGATATGTTGTAGAGGATTTAATTCTTAACAACTTTTAAATGGGACGAAATCTTGTAGGTAGTATGGTCTTTGAGATATGAGCGTTGAAAGATGAACTTTTTTGCGACTTTTTGTGTGAAGAGTATACGAAATACTGGTTCTACTGGTGTTTATCAGTCAAAATATTGACAGGTTTACATATTTCACATCACAACAAATTAATGTCAACAATTGTCAACGTCGGCTAAGGCCGGGACCGCACTGGGACCAATGTTGGCGCCGCAGTGCGGTCCCGACCTTAGCCTATGTTGACATTTGTTAGTGACGTAAAATATGTGAACCTGTCAATATTTTGACTGACAAACACCAGTATTTCGTATACTCTCCACACAAAAAGTCGCAAAAAAGTTCATCTTTCAACACTCATATCTCGAAGACCGTAATACCTACAAGATTTCGTCCCATTTAAAGGTTGTTAAGAATTAAATCCTCTACAACATATCAAAAAATGGGCAAAATCCATAGAGCCCAAAAATCCCATGCTAGGTGTGCGTTATCCTTACCATACAAAGTTACATGAAATTATAATAAGAATAATTTGTTCAAAACTCAAAAACAAGCTGTCGTGTTGTTCAATATATTTTTTTTTTTACTAGTTAACAATATCCACCCATCAATATCCATAAGTCAAGCGGATATGTCAAGAACGTCACGGCACAGTAGTACTGCCTATGATCGGTATCCTCAAGCTTCACTTTCCGTACCTGTCGAAAATGGTTTACCACCTGATGCATATCCATCCAACCCACATCGAGATAGTGTTGGAAGTGGCCAACCCAGTCCGACAGTTAGGTAAGATTTCCTTTCAAAGTTCTAGACAAAAATAAGTGGCAAAATATCTGTTGGATTCTTTTTGAATACGTCAAGAGCGTTAGTGCGACTTCAATCGAAAAATCCCATGTCAGTTTTTTAACTCTGACATCCCTGAACATGGGCAGAAATTGACCCTTACGTTACGTATACACACACTACTGGTATGCCAATATTTAGAAATTTGTCTACATAGAAAATTTCTATCCCATATTTTAAATATTTTATTTATTTATTAAATGACTTGCCCCTAACCCAAACTTCAACAGTTTAATACTTTTGAGATTAATACATGACACAATCACACGTGATATCATTATCACTATTCAGAAAGCTTAAGCAGTCGCGTGCGCATAATATCCAGTAGTATGTGTATCACAATAGCTGGAACTTCAACTAGAAACCAACAGATGGCCTATATAACAAAACTTTTATAGACATTCACCAGCAACACCGTCATATCCGAATAATGGTTTGTTGAGACAATGCCCTGATCCTGGGAGCCGGTCTATGCCTGGCCGTTCTCAGCCTTATCCTTTGTACGACAGGCCCGGCTCTTCGCATTCTCACTCGTCCTCATCGTCTCAACAGGTGAAGTCACTTTAATAATAAAAGGTCAATTTGATTGATCGATTTTTGCTTTCTTGCTTGGTGTTGTGCTTGGCCATGTTGCTTGGTGAGGTTATTTTTAGTCGTAATAGGATTTTTTTGATACAAATAATTATTGTGTGTTTTGTTGATTTTTATCTTAATATAACTATTTGATATTAAAAAAAATTCTATCAGGCTTTTCTTAATTGCTTTTGGAATGGCAAATATTTTTGTAGCTGTTTATAATAGTGCTTGTGATGCCTGCTTGAATTAAAAATAAATCTATTTATTAACTTTTTCTTTTAGATGGTAATAAGAAGAGATAGAGATCGAGATCAGGATATGTTCGGTCACGGTCCTCAGCCGAGCTGAGATTCAATTAATGGTGATAATTTTAGCCACTTATTCAATGCGTCGACAAATCTTCGAAATAATAACTATTGTGACATTGACTGATTTAAATTATAATATTATTATGTATGTGTTCAATTTTCAATTTTATTGCAAGGTTTCTACTGCCATTAATTATTATTTTAACCAACCTTTTTGTTTATCCGTTTTATAGTTTGCAATTTTCGTTGGCAATATTTGCCATAATGTTCAAGACAATTATTAAGGGATGGATTCCTGAAGTAAATTTAAGATAGAAAGTTTTTATGAAGCATGGACCTACCATACGGTTAAGAGATACTGTTCCTATTTTTTCTTGACATACTTAAGGACCACCCCTTACTAGTTGGTAACATTTGAATATCGTTAAGTGCAATATAAAGTGTACGAAAAATTGCAAACGGTAAAAAAATTTTTAGATATGTAATTGATCGACTTTTTTAACGCCCTGTATATTACAAAAAAAAACAAGACTATTAAAAGTAAGTCATATATGGCCTATCGACGATATCAATTATAATTATTACAGTCCACCAATCATATCAGATTATTAAGAGCAATTTTTCCGAATAATATTAAGTATTATAGATTTTTAGTTCTTTGTCAAAAAAAAAAATACTGTGAAATAGGTTCACATTTTTTCTTTTGGGAGAAAAATTTAGAAATAGTTGAGCTCAGGGAAAAGACTTATAATTAGGAACCTGTTTGTTTTTTACAAGTGTGTTACATTTTATTGTGTAATGCCAATTTAACTAAGCCATATTAGTTTAGTGTAAATATTATGGTTTTTTCTTGTAGGCAATCATTATCAACAAAAATAACTTATTTGACTGACTTTATTTATCCTAAATTATTTTCACTCTTTGTACACACTATTATTTCTAGGGCCAGTTTCTTAAGTGACAGTTAAGGTTTCGGTGAGGAACACAAAGTTTAGTACTCTGCTTTATCTATCAACCAGAAACAACTAGGAAAGGGCGCATTCTTTTTTTCACTGGTGGATCCATTGATCATTAGTCTATCTTTGTCTAGTTCATAGAAAATTGGCTGTCTCATAATGATGAATTCAGATGGATACATCGATGGAAAAAAGAATACATGCAAAAGCAAATGTTTACAGTGACTAACAAAGGTCGTTATTTTTTGTCACTGAATGACGAATAAACTATTCACATTGCTAAGAGGTTAAGTTTGTGAATATTGATATAATTTTGTATAATATAGTATTTAACCTTGGTATATCCCCCAAAAAATATTTCTTTTTGATGGGTAAAACAGAGATCTAAGGTTCTTTCCGATTCCATAAACCAAAAGAAAAACTTGGCGCCTATGTATTTAACTTTTTTGACTGTTGATGTTTGATTTTCTATTTAAATAATTAATATTTAAGCAATATTGTAACATTAAAAGATGCTATATAATTTTTTAAAAAAGAAATCCCTATTTTCTCTAATAGTTTGTCAAAAAATTATAACTGTTTTTGTACTTTTCATAGATTAAATATATTTCTGCTAGGTACTTAAAGGGATTTCAAATGGAACTAAAAGGAACTGTTAATATATTAAATTCATAATTGATGAGAGAATAATTTTGTGTAGCTAGAATTTTTGTAATTTAAGGCATGTATAAATTTTTAAAAAAATTGTTCTCAGTCACATTATCAACAACAAAGATTTAATATAATATCAGTTCAAGCATCAAACTATTGAAATTTAGTTAGTAGCTCATTTCTTTGATCTTATACACATTCAAATTATAATTATTAAATAGCAATAGTTAAAAATAATGGATATATAAATATTACTCACTTAATTTAAACCCAAAATAAACTTAATAATATTTGAACCATTTGAAATTACCTTTTTCTGGGTGATATCATTGGGCATAAAGTAAATGACTTCGAATTCATAATACTTAGACACCATATTGTATATTTTGTAATATTTTCCAATTTTTAGGTTGTTTTGTTTTATTTTTATGTAATATACAGTTGGTAGGAATTTTATTCGAGTGTTTTAGTGAAACAACAAATTAGTATAAAATAAACAAATTTATTATAAAAATATTTTACCAAACAAAAAATAATTTAATAATAAGTTGTATTAGGTTAATTCAGTTCCATTTTCTGTCACTTCGTGCTGTGGTATTGGCTTAGAATGTACTTTATATGGATCAGGACCTATCCAGCTTAAGATTACAGGAAATAGCATCGTTCCGTGGAAAATACCGAAAATTATGACTAGAGAAAATATCTGAAAATAAATGAAATTTGAAAGGATTAAAAAACTTATAATGCCACAAAAAAAAGGAGTAAATTAAATTGGGTTGGCTAAACAATGCCTTATAAGTATGAGTAAAAGCCATTGTTTCGAAATGCATATAGAGAATTAACATTCAAATTTGTTTGCCAGTGAAAATTTATCACTATCAAATTTTATTCAAAAAATGCAAAGATTTCTCATCAAATTTATCTTAGTGATAAATAATGTTTCACGGGTTCAATAATTTTTATTCATGGATTTCACTAATCAGCGTTTGAAACCTGGATAAAAAGTGACTTCTTAACAAATCTAATTGATTTTTAAAGCTCGTCTTCGGTAATATCTTCCTTAGAAATAGCTAATAAATCGTTTAGTTGCTTCTTAAACTTCTAGTATTGGTCTTGAAGTTCTTCTTCCTGAGTTGATTTGTTAGGAGTAGACAAAGGTTAGTTACTTTTTCAATAGCTTCTGGTAGGGATGGCACCTCGATCAATTGACTAGTCAAAAGTTATCAATTGACACTCAATTTGACCGAAGTTAGAATATTTGACCAAATTAAAAAATAAATAAATAAACAGAACTAGCAGAAGCAATAGTATATTGCATAAAAAAATAAAATAAAATTTTTCTCTAGAAAATGAAACAAACAGAACTTGAAACCCCACTTTTCCACACCCATTAAGGTCCTGAAAGTACCCCTTTTGGTAGGTATACAGGTACTTACAGGTTTACAGATATACAGGAGCGGAAAAGTGAAAAAAAAAAAAAAATGTATACAGGGTGTTTGGTAGGTTGATGCATATATTTTGGGGTAAGTCATTTCGAACCTATTTAGTCAAACGTACCTTAGTACCAAGTCCTATGGTTTTCAAAATATGGCCGATTAAATTTTTTCTTAAAAAAATTTCACAAATCCTTTGTTGGGCGCTTTAATGCGATATTCAGAAATATTGTCTCAATTATTTTTGTTTTGTGTCTTAACGGAATCTGTATTCCTTGTGTCAAATGCATTAACAATAAAATAAATAAAAAATGAATAAGAGTGCCATTTTAAATTCAAAACTAATTCCATTGCAACTTTCACATGTGCGTGCCTTTTCGAATTGTACATACCACGAAAAAATTACAATTTTTTTTTTGGATTGCCGCACAAAAATCATTAGACTACACACGGAGAAAAAAATATAGTACGATTTATTAGAGATTTTATAATACTATATAGGACGAATACCCAGTTTAGTACCATTTACAACATTTTTATAATAATTTGACAATAAAATAGTCATTATGTTTTACTATATTTTATGTTGAATAGTACCAATTTTAGTTTATAAGATATATAAGAAATATATTCTTATTTTTACTATATGTGATATTACCATGCATTATGTGCTTTTTATATCTTTTATGATATTTTTTTTGTAGTTTTTATTAGCTAGTTTAATAAAATTTAATATTTTTTTCACTTATCAGTATTATAAATTATAGTATTCTTCACAAAAACATTTTATTAGCGTTATAATACTTGGTACTACAGTAACCAACAAAAAGATTGCCAGAAATCTAAAAGATATCCTTAAAAAATTTAAATTTTGCAATGTCGGGGTCAAAAACAGTGAAAGCAAATTTTTCGCTGCATTTGACCCCGATATTGCAAAATTCACATTTTTCAAGATTATCTTTTTTATTTATAGCAAACTTTTTGTTGGTTCAATTAGTTTAAATTAGAAAGAAAAAAATAGGAAAAAGGAGAAAAAGCAAAACCCAAATTTAATTTTGAAACATTTTATTACATTCCTAATATTTTTTCGATATACATACATACATTCATATTATGCGTAGGTAGGATAGCATTTCTAAATTCAGTCCAATTTATGTATAAACCATCACAGTTTGTGGGATAATTTTTTTGAAAGTCTTTACAGTTAAACCTTAACTGCAGCTGGTATCTCAAGGTATTCCTCTAACTCTTCTACAGTTGTGGTAGAGGCACTTGACGGTTACTGAATTTGGATTTCATTGTGACTGGTGACGGTGATGTTGATTTCTAGGTTTCAGGAATTATAATCTGAAACAACCCTTTATTACGTACCTATACTAATACAAAAAAAAAAAATATTTTTCAAGTCACCTCTGTTATATATTTATTGTACTTAGCAATAAATTTCAATCTTTTCCCAACACTAGGAATTATTTCTTTTACTAAATCCGGATGATTGTGTAATAAGTTAAAGGCTTCCAAGTCTATATCGTTATCTGAGAAAAATAAAACATTTTAAATAAAAGGGTTTATTCCATAGTATATACGAATGAAATGTAAAAGAAAATAATCCATAAAACACAATAGTTATTTATCATACAAGGGAAAAAAGTACTAGATTTTAGCGAAAAAATAATCACTTTTTTTCCGTGGGAGAAAAAGTGACATTTTTGCCCCTTTTATTATTATTTTGTTGATGTCCCCTTCCTCCACTCTACAGAATTATAAATTAAATTTATTTTGGCCCATATTGAAATATTTTGCGCTTGCGTTTCATATGTATGTGAGAGTTGATATAAACTTACCTTCAAAGGAGTCCAGGAGTTCACTCAGCTCAAAATTTTCCAAAATTTCTTTAATACTATTCATATTGCACCAGAAAATCATAAATATTCAAAAACATAAACATCAATCAAGCGTGGAACAGGGTGGCGAGATGTGACTCACTCACTAACCGGCAACTAAATGAATCCCGAATATCACGGAAAGTAAAATTCCTGTCTTTGATGTACGAGTTAAAATAAAAATAGTAAACAGTAACATCTTTATTTCCTAGCTTGTACAATGTGAATATTGTAAAAAAGCATTTTTATTATGGATGGATAGTATCCTCTAAAATCTTCTGATATTACAAATTACCTTTAGAATAAATGTAGGACAAATCTTAATAAAAAATATTCTAAAATAGGATTCTAAGTAGAATTTATTATAAATTATATTTAACAATAACATGTTAACGGTTTGGTGGGAAATTATACTAAGTATTATAGTAGATCGTATTATATATTCAATATTTTTCAATTATTATAAATTTTTAGTCACTGATACTAAAATATGCTTATAAAAAATACAATATTTTTAATAGCAAACACTAGAATTTATTTACAAACTATTATAATAAACGTTCGAAGGTATTTACGGAAAAAAAACTGGACGAGCCTCTTTTTTCTTTTTTTTACAAACAAAATGTTCACTTTTAAACTGAAGTAAGTGAACAGTTTGTTAACGTCTGCCTAGGGTTGCCACCTTTTGATTTCCGAAAACCCGTACCTACATAATCCAAGCTAACTTTTTTTTGTGGCATAATTTACACTCATAACTGTAAAATGAATTTTTAGACAAAATAGCTATTTATGTACCAAGGGGATTATGTAGATTATAATGCCCGAAGGCGAAACTAGCCCGAGGACCTCTGGCCCGAGGGATATATTTCGCCTGAAGCGAATGTTCTTCCATCAATTTAGTATCAAACAAAATCAGTTAAACTTGTGTGACAGAATATTGTTTTGTATTTTGACATGTATAAATTAATATACCTATAAACATCTCATAAGGCATTTCAATAGTGGTCGTGTTGGTTAACGCGCTCGACTACATGGGAAACGTTGATGGTAGACCGGGTTCAAATCCTGGCCAGATCGAAAATAATTTTCGGTCGGACATTTAGTGGCTGCATAGGGTAAAGTGCAAGTTAATAAAACTCAACAACAAAAACACCTCAGGGTATTATTAGCGGGCGTTATAGATCATAACGCCCGCAGGGCTTATAATGCCCTCAGGTTGTTATAGGTATGTTACCGTATTTCGTTTCCTAGGTGTTATGAATCTATAATAGTTAAGTAGAAAATAAAGGTACCTACCTAATTTTAGATGCCTCCCCTTGTAGTTATAGTTACTGTCCATTTTAAAATTTAAAAAAAAAATAGAGACACTTGTAAGTGAACAGGGAGAACGACACAATATATACATAATTATTTGTTTTATTAGGCATAAAAGCACAATATTTGATGCCGCGGCTGGTGTTCCATAGTCGAAAGCGAAACTAGGAAACCAGCCAAGGCATTAAATCTGATCTTTTGCCATGTGAAGCATATCATTTTTTCTCCGAATTTGTTACAATTTGACGCATAATCCACTTTTTTATATTTATCAATTGCGCTGATAACGTTTGTTGAATGGTTAGCGACGAACTTTTCTGCCTAGGCAGAAAAAGTCCACTTTTCCGTCGCTAACTGGAAATCGGACACGTTCGTGACACACCCGTCATTCAAAAAGTAGGTACGTTCAGAAATTAGTTAGGTATATCCTAAGGCGTTCAGCAATCTCCTTTATAAATTTTATATTAAGATTTAATTATTAATAATTATACAGTTATCCAGATATTCCCGGATATTTTCATAATGCGTCCGGACACCGGACAAACCTTTAAAAAACCGGACAGTCCGGGTGAAAACCGGACAGGTGGCAACCCTACGTCTGCCTAATTTTTGTGATAATTTGTACTGTTGTTGCTGATTATTGCATTGAAGTGCCGAACAATACTATATTGTGTATTTAGGTGGAAAAGTGACACATTCTCGGCCGACGATGTAAGTTGACGGGCGAGGCGTAGCCGAGGCCGGCAAACACCGAAGGCCGAGAATGTGCTTTTCCACCAAAATACACATACTATTTTTTCTGCGATCGGTGAAATACCTGTTAAATGTTTGTCTTTTGGTTCTAATTATTCAGCAGTACAAGAATCACTTTCCCGGCCTAGGCCGGAAAAGTGTTTCCCGTATTGTTATTAATTGATTCCTTAGCAACTATTGAAACATAATTAGAATACCAGAATATTGAGTTTTGCGACCTGTCAACCGGTCAAAAATGCTGACATTTCTTGTCAACCGCAGAAAAATAGGATTTGTTTAAGAAAAAATTAAATCGGCCTTATTTTGAAAACCATAAGACTTGGTACTAAGGTAAGTTTGACTAAATAGGTTCTAAATGACTTTACTCTATCACCTGCCAAAATATATGCATCGACCTACCAAACACCCTGTATATTTGGTAAATATAACAAGGTACAAATATTACCTTTTATCTCGTAGAAAAAATACTGTTCCTAACTCGTGCGGAAAGTCTCTTTTCTTCACTTGATTGCTTGCCGAACTCCGGTACGCGTCGTTCGGCAAACTGCAATCGCGTGCGGGAAAGTGGCACTTTCCGCACTAGTTAGGAAATATACTATTGTGTGTTTGTTGTCTCTTTGCCCTTGTTATGTTATACCTGGCGGCTAGACCAGCAATAAATGATGGCAATAATGCTACGTCTTGCTTCCCACTACTCGAGTATTTGACGCGAGTAATTTGACAAATGACCGGTCAAATACCAGGACAATTGAACGAAAGATAATTGACCGGTCATTTGCCAACCCTAGCTTCTGGTAATGGTTTTTGGCTCTTCTCTTACAATAGGGAACTTTACAATTTTTTTTTTATTTTTTCAAATCATTTATTTATGCCTTGAAAGAGTATTCCCCAAATATTATTCAACCATTGGCCCCAACGTTAGATCCAACGTTGGGTACAGTGTTTTTTGCTCTAGCATTCGGCAAATGTATCCGATGAGCGCACGGCTACACGATGCCACAAATCGCTATGTGTCCAACATGTGTGGCGCCGGCTTCACCTTGTCGTCAAACGTCATACTTCATTGTATTTAATTTGGTTGATTTCCACATTTTCCACCGTTATTTGTTTTGTTGTTGTTTTGGGTTGCGGCGAGTTGTAAATTTTTAAGTTATAATGGAAAAAAAGATTCACAAATTACAGATTGGCGGATTGGCCTTTGGAATTTCCTTCTTCGGTCATAATTAATAGGTAAAGTTCGTTTCGCCAGGGTTCATACTCGACCTTGAAACTTGACAAAAAAGGGTTGTCGTAGATTAATTCATATGACACATTCAATTTTTTTGACAAATTAATGGCGTTTCCGATTGGTAGATCTAGTGCGGAACTAGTGCAATTTTTCCTATTTCTGTCTTTTTCTTCTACATGTCGATTAAAGGGATGCAAATACACTCAGTGCGCACTGAATCTACCAATCGGAAACGCCATAAAATGAATGACGTCTGGTTTAAGAACCGTCGAACGTTTTTAACGTCATTGATTTGTTTCAGTCAATTTTTATTTGTTAAACAAGGAAGACAAATGCTGGTGGCAAGTACAAACCCTGGTGAAACAAACTTTATATCGTTTTATTTATATAATGCTAAGCTCAGCTAACGGGTATTTATTATGTAGAGTTCGAGTAAAGGCTCGGAGTTGCTGTTTTGTTCTTTTATCCCTGTTCTTCTCATCATAAGAAAAAAAGACGGAACATGCTCCGAGCGCTCAGTGTTTCAAGACGAACTCACGGTATGATGGACGGTTGCTGACAGACACTGACAGATCGTACTAGATGACGTCACGACCAGTACCAGAGCGTTTTTTCCCGCTGGAAATAATTTGAATTTTTCCGCATTTTGAATTCCTTATTGTGGCCGTTTGCGACAAAAAAAATTGTTTTTTTCCCTGATATAGATTTTAATTAATGTATTCTTATGATTTATAGTAATATTTTCATCTTTAAATTTTTTGTCAAGTTCCCTATTGGCTCTACCAACCAAACACTTTCGTCTGCAGCTCTTCTTTGTTAATTAGTTTCTCCTTTCTCATAACCTCTTCTTTCTCAATTGCTTAAGTAGCTTTTTCAACATTTTTACTGAAGAAAATGGTTTTTGATGCGCTCCTTGGGAGTTGATAATGAACTAGTTCACAGCCTCCTACATTTAACAAGCCATGAAGTTAAAAAGGCAACACCGCAATTTTACCGCCAAGTGGTGCTGGTGGTGTTTGTTTTTATAAATATATATTTTTTATTTCATTAAATATGAATCACAAAAAATGCATAATTTATTGTACTAAAGGGCCAAAAACAGTAATTCAATGAATAATATAACTATTTGTTTAAATAAGAACAGTAAATAATTGATTTAAATGAATATATTTCTAGAGTCTAAAGTGTTATAGGCCTATGTTTCAGTATGTCTTTTGAAAATCTAACTTTTTCTTTCTTCGGGATTTTTTCGGAAGGCAGGTCCATTCAAATACTTGAGCTGATTTTCGAAAATAAGAGGACCTACTTTTAAGAGTTGGACGTTTTAGTTTGAACCCTCGAACTACGCCTTTATCCTTCTTTGTTTCAAATCTAATTATTTCGGTTTCTTCAAAATGTTTACAACACATCACAGAATTTTTCGTTATTGTATAATCTCGGGTATAATTATCTTGGTGTATTGCTTTCATCCACATTTTTTGCAATTCAGAATTTTTTTGGAAATGAAAATGTTTGCATTTCTTCAGTTTTTAAGGAACTCCTAATAGTTCGATTTGCACCCAGGCCAGGAACACAATAGTTTCATGGCATCTGGAACAAGTTTAAATATTTTAGGTAATACTAGCTGACCCCGCGAACTTCGTACCGCCTCTGAATTATTAAACGTCTATTAAATGTTGTATTAACGTATCTATTTGCTGAATTAAATTCAGTTTTTTTCGATGGTGAATTTGGCTTTGGTTGAAGAAAATTACTGTTTACTCTCTGGATCAGAAGTTACCTAAAATTTAAATTTTACATCATCCTTTTTCTTTTCAGCGTTGACAGTACCAGCATGTTGTTATGTCATTAATTTAATTAAGTAAATTAAGTTTACAAAAAATGTGATAAATGAAGAACCGCTCGACCGATTTTGTGCAAACTTCACATAAACCATCTAATAAATAGTCCGAACAATGCCTAAACATTTGGTTTGGCTAGGTGAGCCCGTTCTTGAGTTATAAAATTACAACGAAAAGTGGCTTTAATTTTTATATATATAGATATCGAGACCTATGCTCTTGCAGACAAATAATAATATTGTTTTTATTGTTTTACCTTACCTTACCTTC